GGACTCCTCTAGAAGGAACCATGCTTCATTCCTAGGATCCGTCCGCACCCGGTTCTGCGTCTCTTCCCCGAAATGCTCCGGTTTTCCGTCCCTCCGGCCCTTTTCTTCCTCTTGGCATCCGCCACTTCCTTCCCAAAGGACTTGAGCCCGCTTCACACCGTCGGCGGGGCAGGTGAGCATCACATTCCTTCCCTGGACCAGAATCTAGATGGCCATCTGTCGGGAGGGCTTCAATTGGCCCTTCCCAGGTGGCAAAATTGGGTTGGACCGGATGGCCCTTGGAGAGGGGTCACTTCCAACTCTAGGGTTCTAAGCATTGCATTGATTCTAATAGGAACCGCGCGGTACCCGTATTTCCGTGGCCTTGCGGATGACAATGACACCACGCAACTCGGTTTGGATTTCCAGAGCATGTTGCGGATAAACCAAACACTCTTCATCGCAGCCCGGTAAGTAGCCAGTGGGATACACAGCGCTGGTTTTTACACCTAGAACTGGGACATAGAACCATAACAAAGCTTTTCTCTCCAACCCTAGGGACCACGTCTATGCCTTCAACCTCCAAAAGACCAAGGATGACTTCTCTCCAAGCAAGGTAAGGTTGATACTTTTGACAACAAGGTTTGTAGCGTTGGTTTCTCCTGCACAGTTTGGATCCTAACACAAACCTAGAACCCCCATGAATGAGTAGTCAACAGAGCTATCTAGAACCACAGCAGTTGGTTGAGCTACCTGGAACTCATTCGAATTAACCTTCCACATGGCATGTTGTTGGTAAGCTACCGAGAAATCCCAACAACTAGTTGGGTAAACAATAGCCTTCAAGCTACGTAAAACCCATAATTGTTGGTTGAACTACCTAGATAAGAGATCAGTACAGCAACCTAGAATGTCCAGTAGTTGACCAAGCTACCCTAATACCACAGTAGATACTTGAGGTATCTAGAACCCACAGAGGCCACTTGTGCTGCCTAGAACTCACAGTGGTCGGTTGTGTTACCTAGAACACATATCCATTGACAGTGTAGTTCAGAGATCAGCAGAGCAACCTAGAATATCCAGTAGTTGACCAAGCTACCTTAATACCAGTAGGTGCTTGGACTATCTAGAACCCACAGCTGCCATTTGTCCTGCCTAGAACTCACAGCAGCAAGTTGTATTACCTACAACCCATATCCATTGACAGTGTAGATCAGAGATCAGTAGAGCAACCTAGAATATCTGGTAGTTGACCAAGCTACCCTAATACCACAGTAAGTGCTCAAGCTGTCTAGAACCCACAGCAGTCAGTTGGGCTGCCTAGAACTCACAGCGGTCAGTTGTCATACCTAGAATTCATATCAATTGACAGTGTAGATGGCCTGTCTAAGTAACCTGGTCTTCCTAGAGCACAGAGCAATTGGTTGAACTACCCAGAAGTCAGTTGGGCCAGACGGAACCTTCAGTGTTTGTCAGAAATTGGTTGTCGTTTGAGCTACCTAGAACCCATTTTGATAAGCAGTGTATTTCCCCTGTTTGGAACACTGGGGTTGAAAACACTGCCTTGCCTAGAACCCATCACTGGTTCCAGGTGCTAGGTCTTGTGCTATCTAGAACCCAAATTGAGATATATCTCACCAATGACCTCTTTATTCTGGTTTCTCTGCCTTCTCAGCACCTCACGTGGAAAACTCAGGATATGGAAAACTGTGCCATGAGAGGAAAGCTTCGGGTAAGAACCGCAAGGTGGCAATAACGAGGACGTGGTTTGTGGCCTGAGATGTTCTGCCTTGAACCCTTTCTGTCCTGATCTTTCTGCAGAACGAATGTTACAACTACATCAAAGTCCTGGTCCCGAAAAACAACCAGACACTCCTGGCCTGTGGGACGAACGCCTTCAACCCCATGTGCCGGACATACAAGGTATCAAATGGTCCATTCATGTCTATAATATATGTATGCATATATATATATATATATTCACACAAATAATATAATAATATGATATATTTAATATAATATATTAATGCAATGTAATATATGTATGCATATATATATATTCACACACAAATAATATATTTCATATAATAGAATATATTGATTTAATATAATATAATCCATGTATATCATATAATATAACATAATATAATAATACAATATAATATTTTAATTGATTTAATATAATATGTTAAAAATAATAATATAATATATTAATATAATATATGTATGCATATATATATTCACACAAATAATATAATAATATGACATATTCAATATAATATATTAATACAATATAATATATGTATGCATATATATTCAAACACAAATAATATATTTCATATAATATAATATATTGATTTAATATAACATAATATAATATATGTATGCATATATATTCAAACACAAATAATATATTTCATATAATATAATATAATAATACAATATAATATTTTAATATATTTAATATATTATTTATTTATTTATTTTATTTACAAAATTTATATGCTGCCCTTCTCACCCCAAAGGCGACTCAGAGCTGCTTACAAGATATATATATATATATATATATATATATATATATATATATACATACATACAATACATTACATTATTAGCATAGCACAACATCAGCACTAAACACTAACATATTGTACTATACCAACACACTGCAACATTATTAGCAACATCACATGTAATATAAATATATAATTATAACATCATACAACCATCAGTATTATTAATATTATGTATGCACACAAATATAATATAATATAATATAATATAATGATGCAATATAATATTTTAATATAATGTAATATTTCATATAATAAAATAATATAATATCATAATATATTAAAATATAATATACGATATAAATGTATATAGATAATAATATAATATATTAAAATATGATATAATATGATATAATAATGTAATCTAATATAATATGATGCAATATAATATTTTAATGTAATATAATATTTCATATAATAAAAATAATGTATGTATGATATATAGAGAGAGAAAATAATATATTAAAATATGATATAATATGATGTAATAATGTAATCTAATATAATATTATGATATAATATTTTAATATAATGTAATATTTCATATATAAAATAAATAATATATATAGATAATAATATAATATATTAAAATATAATATAATACGATATAAATGTATATAGATAATAATATAATATATTAAAATATGATATAATATGATATAATAATGTAATCTAATATAATATGATACAATATATTTTAATATAATATGATGCAATATAATATTTTAATGTAATATAATATTTCATATAATAAAAATAATGTATGTATGATATATAGAGAGAGAAAATAATATATTAAAATATGATATAATATGATGTAATAATGTAATCTAATATAATATTATGCAATATAATATTTTAATATAATGTAATATTTCATATAATAAAATAATATAATGTCTGTATGATATATAAATAATATATAATATATTAAAATATTATAATATATATATACATACATATACACATAGACATATATATGTATATATATATAAATATGCACACATATATTATATATTAAATGTTATATTATATTAAATTATATTGTATCATTATATTATATTATTATATTTTAATATATTATATTATATTATTATTATAATATTATAATTTAATATAATATAATATTTAATATATAATATATGTGTGCATATTTTTATATATATACATATATGTCTATGTGTGTGTGTATGTATATGTGTGTGTGTGTGTGTATGTATGTGTGTGTGTGTGTGTGTATATATATATATATATATATATATATATATAATATAATATTTTTATATATATACATTATATATAATATTTACTGTATAAACAAGTTTGGAAGTTCTTCCTTTACACTTCCTTTCCTACCCTTGTGTTGTTTCCTTCATTGCCGCTCCGTGTGGTTCATCACAGACATAGTTGTCAACACATTTCCCTTTCGTAATAAGAACCGTAATCCATACTGCCAATAAATCAATACATTGCGCAAATTGTGAAAGGCATAACAATACCAACACTTGAAGACTCCAATTCTGTTTTTGGACTGTTTTGGAGAGCTCTGACTGTGTCTTCCTGTCTACCTGAAGGGGGTTGGACTAGATGCCCTTTGGGGGTCCCTTTTGTGCTATCCTCTTCAACCCCACCATAGGCAGGCATTGGTTTTGGGGCCCAATTCTCCTCCTTTCCTTGAACCCTAGATCAGCACCTTGGAGCAAGAAGGGGAAGAGCTCAACGGCCAAGCTCGGTGCCCTTTCGATGCTAAGCAAGCCAACGTGGCTCTTTTCGCAGGTACGTCCTTGACATTTCACATTCATTTCAATATATCCGTAATCCCAACACTTTATAATATTACTAGCTGTACCCGCCACGCGTTGCTGTGGCAAATCTTCCCTCCCTCTTTCTCCTCCTTCTTTTTCTCTCTCCTTCCTTCCCTCCCTCTTTCCTTCTTTCCCTCTTTTTCTTTTCTTCTTTCTTCCTTCTCTATCTGTTTTTTTTCTCGCTTCCTTTGCTCTTTGGTTCCATCCTTCCTTGTCTCTTTCCTTCCTTCCCTCCTTCCCTCTTTCTCTCTTTCGTTCCTTCTCTCCTTCCTTCCCTCTTTCACTTTTTTTCATTCTCTCCTTCCTTCCTTCTCTACCTTTTTTTCTTTTCTTCTTTCTCTCCCTCCTTCTCTCCCTCCTTTCCCCTTTCTGTGTAAGTGTTTTGTGTATGCATATATGTGTGCATATATATCTAATATATATAAATATGCTCTGTGCATAATGAGTACCTTAAAAACAAAAGAACCCCTCTTTCTCTCCTTCCTTCTCTATCTTTCTTTCTTTCCTTCTTTCTCTCCTTCCCTCCTTCTTTCCCTCTTTCTCTCCCCTTCTTTCCTTCTCTACCCTTCTTTCTTTCCTTCCCTCCTTTCCCTCTTTCTCTCCTTCCTTCTCTATCTTCCTTTCTTTCCTTCTTTCTCTCCTTCCCTCCTTCTTTCCCTCTTTCTCTCCCCTTCCTTCCTTCTCTACCCTTCTTTCTTTCCTTCCCTCCTTTCCCTCTTTCTCTCCTTCCTTCTCTATCTTCCTTTCTTTCCTTCTTTCTCTCCTTCCCTCCTTCTCTCCCTCTTTATTTCCCTCTTTCTCTCCTTCCTTCTTTCTCTACCTTTCTTTCTTTCCCTCCTTCCTTCTTCCTTCTCTACCCTTCTTTCTTTCCTTCCCTCCTTTCCCTCTTTCTCTCCTTCCTTCTCTATCTTTCTTTCTTTCCTTCTTTCTCTCCTTCCCTCCTTCTTTCCCTCTTTCTCTCCCCTTCCTTCCTTCTCTACCCTTCTTTCTTTCCTTCCCTCCTTTCCCTCTTTCTCTCCTTCCTTCTCTCTCTTCCTTTCTTTCCTTTTTTCTCTCCTTCCCTCCTTCTTTCCCTCTTTCTCTCCCCTTCTTTCCTTCTCTACCCTTCTTTCTTTCCTTCCCTCCTTTCCCTCTTTCTCTCCTTCCTTCTCTCTCTTCCTTTCTTTCCTTCTTTCTCTCCTTCCCTCCTTCTTTCCGTCTTTCTCTCCCCTTCCTTCCTTCCTTCTCTACCCTTCTTTCTTTCCTTCCCTCCTTTCCCTCTTTCTCTCCCTCCTTTCTTCTCTATCTTCCTTTCTTTCCTTCTTTCTCTCCTTCCCTCCTTCTTTCCCTCTTTCTCTCCCCTTCCTTCCTTCCTTCCTTCCTTCTACCCTTCTTTCTTTCCTTCCCTCATTTCCCTCTTTCTCTCCTTTCTTCTCTATCTTTCTTTCTTTCCTTCTTTCTCTCCTTCCCTCCTTCTTTCCCTCTTTCTCTCCCCTTCCTTCCTTCTCTACCCTTCTTTCTTTCCTTCCCTCCTTTCCCTCTTTCTCTCCTTCCTTCTCTCTCTTCCTTTCTTTCCTTTTTTCTCTCCTTCCCTCCTTCTTTCCCTCTTTCTCTCCCCTTCTTTCCTTCTCTACCCTTCTTTCTTTCCTTCCCTCCTTTCCCTCTTTCTCTCCTTCCTTCTCTATCTTTCTTTCTTTCCTTCTTTCTCTCCTTCCCTCCTTCTTTCCCTCTTTCTCTCCCCTTCCTTCCTTCTCTACCCTTCTTTCTTTCCTTCCCTCCTTTCCCTCTTTCTCTCCTTCCTTCTCTATCTTCCTTTCTTTCCTTCTTTCTCTCCTTCCCTCTTTCTTTCCCTCTTTCTCTCCTTCCTTCTTTCTCTACCTTTCTTTCTTTCCCTCCTTCCTTCCCCCTTTCTGTGTATGTGTTTTGTGTGTGTATATGCATATATGTGTGTTTGTGTATCTATATGTGGTTTTGCACATGCGTTGTAATTTTCAGCATCACAATCCCCTTAAGCTTCTTATATATATATAGATAACCATGTTTCTAGTCCTCATTGAGCCATAGGATTTCGTCTTGGAGGACCTCAAAACCCAATCAACAAAGATAGATAAGATGTCTATTTTTCCGTCTCAGATGGGAATCTATACTCCGCGACGGTTGCCGATTTCCAAGCCAGCGACGCGGTGATCTACCGGAGTTTGGGAGAGCGGAGTCCAGTTCTCCGGACGGTCAAATACGATTCCAAATGGCTTCGAGGTGAGACTGAGCTGGAAATGGTAGAAGCCAAGAGTGGGAGGCAGCAGCGGAAAAGGCCAACGCGATTCCAACACGATGCAAACCAGGAAAGGGTATCAAAGCCTCCGAGCCAATTCTCATGTCGTCCCTTCCCTTCTTTTGACTCCAGAACCCCACTTCGTACATGCTCTGGAGTACGGCGATTACGTCTACCTCTTCTTCCGTGAGATCTCCATGGAGTACACCACACTGGGCCGGGTGAGCATCTTAAGACCTTCTAGATGCCCTCATGGTACTCCAGTGAGGGTCCTATCCACCTCCCATTCCAGTTTATTGACTTTGAGGACCTTCTAGATGCCCTCACAGTACTCCAATGAGAGTCCTCTCCACCTCCCATTCCAGTATTGACTTTGAGGACCTTCTAGATGCCCTCACGGTACTCCAATGAGGGTCCTATCCACCTCCCATTCCAGTTTTTTGACTTTGAGGACCTTCTAGATGCCCTCACGGTACTCCAATGAGGGTCCTATCCACCTCCCATTCCAGTTTTTTGACTTTGAGGACCTTCTAGATGCCCTCACGGTACCTCAATGAGGGTCTTATCCACCTCCCATTCCAGTTTATTGACTTCGAGGACCTTTGAGATGCCCTCACGGTACTCCAATGAGGGTCCTATCCACCTCCCATTCCAGTCTATTGACTTTGAGGACCTTCTAGATGCCCTCACGGTACCCCAATCGGGGTCCTATCCATCTCCCATTCTGGTTTTTTTACTTCGAGGACCTTCTAGATGCCCTCACGGTACTCCAGTGAGGGTCCAATCCACCACCCATTCCAGTTTATTGACTTTGAGGACCTTCTAGATGCCCTCACGGTACTCCAGTGGGGGTCCTATCCACCTCCCATTCCAGTTTTTTTACTTCGAGGACCTTCTAGATGCCCTCACGGTACTCCAGTGAGGGTCCAATCCATCTCCCATTCCCATTGGATAGCCTCTTCCTTTTATTGTTGTATTAGATACTAATTTGAGGATGTATTTGTGAAGTTCTGCCAGTTCGTTGACTGTGAGGACCTTCTAGATGCTCTCATGGTACCTCAATTTGGGTCCTATCCACCTCCCATTCCCATTGGGTAGCCTGTATTTGTGAAGTTCTGCCAGCTCTTTGGATGGTGAGGACCTTCTAGATGTCCTCATGGTGCCCCAGTGGGGGGTCCTATCCACCACCTATTCCCATTGTGTAGCCTGTATTTGTGAAGTTCTGCCAGTTCTTTGGACGGCGAGGACCTTCTAGATGCCCTCATGGTGCCCCAATGGGGTTCCTATCCACCTCCTATTCCCGTTGGATAGCGTCTTCCATAGATAGTAATTAAGAGATGTATTTTGGAAGTTCTGCCAGATCTTTGACCATGAGGACCTTCTAGATGCCCTCATGGTGCCCCAATGGGGTTCCTATCCACCTCCTATTCCCGTTGAATAGCCTCTTCCATAGATAGTAATTAAGAGATGTATTTGTGAAGTTCTGCCAGTTTGTTGACCGTGTGGACCTTCTAGATGCCCTCATGGTACCTCAGTTTGGGTCCTATCCACCTCCCATTCCCGTTGGATAGCCTCTTCCATAGATAGTAATTAAGAGATGTATTTGTGAAGTTCTGCCAGATCTTTGACCGTGAGGACCTTCTAGATGTCCTCATGGTGCCCCAATGGAGGTCCTATCCACCTCCCATTCCCATTGGGTAGCCTGTATTCTGCCAGGTCTTTGGACGGCGAGGACCTTCTAGATGCCCTCATGGTGCCCCAATGGGGTTCCTATCCACCTCCTATTCCCGTTGGATAGCCTCTTCCATAGATAGTAATTAAGAGATGTATTTGAGAAGTTCTGCCAGTTCGTTGACTGTGAGGACCTTCTAGATGCTCTCATGGTACCTCAGTTTGAGTCCTATCCACCTCCCATTCCCATTGGATAGCCTCTTCCATAGATAGTAATTAAGAGATGTATTTGTGAAGTTCTGCCAGATCTTTGACCGTGAGGACCTCCTAGATGCCCTCATGGTGCCCCAATGAGGGTCCTATCTTTGAATGCGAGGACCTTCTAGATGCCCTCATGGTGTCCCAGTTTGGATCCTATTCACCTTCTACTCTGATCAGATAGCCTCTTCCTTTTCTTACTCTAGTAGATAGTAATTAAGAGATGTTTTTGTGAAGTTCTGCCAGTTCGTTGACCGTGAGGACCTTCTAGATGCCCTCATGGTACCTCAATTTGGGTCCTATCCACCTCTTATTCCCATCCGATAGCCTCTTTCTTATATCACTGCAGACAGTGGGTCCAAACCTTTCAATACGTAGTATTCCTGGATGCCACAGATGCAGGCAAAAGGTCAGGAGAGAATGCTACGGGAACATAGCCATACAGCCCCAAAAACTCACAGCTTCCCAGTGATTCCGGCCATGAAAGCCTTCGACAACACAATAATATCCACATAATTTTGCGAGTCCCTCATAAAGAAGAGCCTGGAATTTGGCGGTCTCCCATCCGAATCCCAACCAGGGCTGGCCCTGCTTAGCATTTAGTTTCGACGGTTTTTCCGAAGAGGAGGATGCTTTTAGAATTGGGGAGAGGAAAGGATTTGGATTCTGAGCGCCCGTTTTGTCCCGAAACCTCAGGTCGTTTTCTCCCGCGTGGGTCGGGTCTGCAAGAACGACATGGGGGGTTCCCCGCGGGTCCTAGAGAAGTACTGGACCTCCTTCCTGAAGGCTCGGCTCAACTGCTCCGTCCCCGGCGACTCCTTCTTCTACTTCGACGTCCTCCAAGCCGTCACCGAAGTGACCCAGGTCAACGGCCGCCTGGCCGTCTTCGGAGTCTTCGCCACTCAGTCCAACAGGTAAGGACAAAAAAAGATAATAATAATCAGCACACTGGGTGCAGCGCCTCAAGACCTTGGCCTGGACTTAAAAACAATCAACACTGCCAAAATGACCACCTGTCAGCTGCAAAAGGCCACCCGACTTGGATCTGCCCGTGTTATTTGCTGATACATCACACAATAATAATGTAATAATATAATATATCACTATCCAGCATCACAGGTTCAGCCGTCTGTGCCTTTTATATGGACGAAATAGAACGGGTCTTCGGGGGCAAATTCAAAGAGCAAAAGACTGCCGACGCGGCCTGGACCCCCATCCCGGAGGAAAAAGTGCCAAAGCCCAGGTAATATCATAATAATGCCCCAGGTATGAAAGTCATGGCCCAAGTTTTGAAATTAAGATGCTGTCAGTTGGAACTTTGTTGCGTTCCCTAATGCATGTTTTCGAATTAAAGCCTTCCAAGTATGTTTTTCCCCCAGAATTAGTCGTATTCTGTGTATATTTGAATTCTGGGAGAGGGTTGTCATGGAAATGTGAGCAATGCAGGTGAGGGGACATGGTGTGGCGTGAGGGAATAAACTGTCAGTTTGAACTTTGTTGTGTTCCCTAATGCATGTTTTCGAATTAAAGCCTTCCAAGTATGTTTTTCCCCCAGAATTAGTCATATTCTGTGTATATTTGAATTCTGGGAGAGGGTTGTCATGGAAATGTGAGCAATGCAGGTGAGGGGCCAGGGTGCGGCGTGAGGGAAATAAACTGTCGGTTGGAACTTTGTTGTGTTCCCTAATTCATGGTTTTGAATTAAAGCCTTCCAAGTATGTTTGTGCCAGAATTAGTCCTGTATATTTGAAATCTGGGAGAGGGTTGGCATGGAAGGGGGAGTAATGCAGGGGAAGGTCCAGGGGTGCAGCGTGAGGGAAAAACTATCAGTTGGAACTTTGTTGCGTTCCCTAATGCATGCTTTTGAATTAAAGCCTTCCAAGTATGTTTTTCCCAGAATTAGTCGTATTCTGTGTATATTTGAAATCTGGGAGAGGTTTGTCATGGAAATGGGAGCAATGCAGGGGAGGGGCCAGGGTGCAGCGTGAGGGAAATAAACTGTCAGTTGGAACTTTGTTGCGTTCCCTAATGCATGCATTTGAATTAAAGCCTTCCAAGTATGTTTGTCCTAGAATTAGTGTTATTCTGTGTATATTTGAAATCTGGGAGAGGTTTGCCATGGAAATGGGAGCAATGCAGGTGAGGGGATACAGTACGGCGTGAGGGAAATAAACTGTCAGTTGCAACTTTGTTGCGTTCCCTAATGCATGCATTTGAATTAAAGCCTTCCAAGTATGTTTGTCCTAGAATTAGTCCTGTCCTGTGTATATTTGAAATCTGGGAGAGGGTTGCCATGGAAGCGGGAGCAATTCAGGTGAGGGGACAAGGTGCGGCGTGAGGGAAATAAACTGTCAGTTGGAACTTTATTGCGGTCCCTAATGCATGCTTTTGAATTAAAGCCTTCCAAGTATGTTTGTCCTAGAATTAGTGCTATTCTGTGTATATTTGAAATCTGGGAGAGGTTTGCCATGGAAATGGGAGCAATGCAGGTGAGGGGATACAGTACGGCGTGAGGGAAATAAACTGTCAGTTGGAACTTTGTTGCGTTTCCTAATGCATGCTTTTGAATTAAAGCCTTCCAAGTATGTTTTTTTCCCAGAATTAGTCCTATTCTGTGTATATTTGAAATCTGGGAGGGTTGCCATGGAAGCGGGAGCAATGCAGGGGAGGGGATACGGTGCGGCGTGAAGAAAATAAACTGTCAGTTGGAACTTTGTTGCATTCCCTAATGCATGCTTTTGAATTAAAGCCTTCCAAGTATGTTTGTCCCAGAATTACTCCGGTGTATATTTGAAATCTGGAAATGGGAGCAATGCAAGGGAGGAGCCAGGGTGCGGCGTGAGGGAAATAAACTGTCAGTTGGAACTTTGTTGCGTTTCCTAATGCATGCTTTTGAATTAAAGCCTTCCAAGTATGTTTGTCTCAGAATTACTCCTGTCCTGTGTATATTTGAAATCTGGAAATGGGAGCAATGCAGAGGAGGGGCCAGGGGGCGGCGTGAGGGAAATAAACTGTCAGTTGGAACTTTGTTGCGTTCCCTAATGCATGCTTTTGAATTTGTGAAGTTTGTGAGGTAATTTCTGCGCCAGAATGCTATAGATCCGGACAGATGATTTCTTTTTTTGTCCATCAGGCCCGGGTGTTGCGCCGGGATTGGAAAAGCGACCGGTTTCCGGACCTCCAACGATTTCCCCGACGAGATGCTGAGTTTCATCAAATCCTTCCCGCTCTTGGACGAAGCTGTGCCTTCGGTCACCGGGCAGCCCTGGTTCACCAGGACCGCCAGCAGGTAAAAGGTTTGGCGAGAAGATTCAAACTCGGGACTCCAGGATTTGGCTCTTCGGATTCCGGGATTCGAACTCGAGACCCCCATTTCTCCCTGCCATAATAGGTATAAGCTGACCCACTTGGCTGTGGACACCACGGCCGGTCCTTTCAAAAATTACACGGTCCTCTTTCTGGGCTCGGAAGACGGGACGGTGCTGAAGGTGTTGTCCCGGACGGCCGAAAACTCGACAGTGGAGACCGTCTTGCTGGACGAAATCTCGGTCTACAACCCTTCCCGGTGAGATCTCTCTCTAGAGAGGGCATGGCTATCTGCCGGGAGGGTTTCGATTGTGGCAGAATGGGGTTGGGATGGATAGCCCTTGGGGTTCCTTCCAGTTCTATGATTCTATGATCCTAGGTGCAGCGTCAAGAAGGATGACCGCCGGGTCCTGGATTTCGAGCTGGACAAGGCCAACCACGCCCTTTACGTGGCTTTCTCTGGCTGCGTGGTGCGGGTGCCTCTCAGCCGCTGCTCGGCTTACAGCGCGTGCCGGAGGTGAGCGAAAGGGGGCACTAGGGGCCATCTAGTCCATCCCCGGTGGCCTCATTATTGTCGCCCATTTCGGCAATCTCTGCGGCCTTGAGGACAAATCCTGATGCTTAAGAGTCTCATGTAAGACGGGAAAATGGGATGGTGATGATGATAATAATATAAATAATAATAATAAATAATTAACAAATAATTAATAATTAATAAATATTTAATAATAATAATAATAATAATGTGGGTCTCTTTTTAAGGGGTCAAGCACGATACAATAGTAATAGTAATAATAATAAATGGATTTGGGTCTCTATTAGGAGAGATCAAGCAAGATATAAGCAATAACAATAATAATAAGTGAATTTGGGTCTCTTAAGAGAGATCAAGCAAGATATTATTATTAACAACAACAATATAATAGAATATGGATCTCTTTTAAGAAAGAGCAAGCAAGATAATAATAATAATAATAATAATAATAATAATAATAATAATAATAGGGTCTCTTTTAAGAGAGATTAAGCAAGATATTATTATTATTAACAACAATATAGAATGTGGATCTCTTTTAAGAAAGATCAAAATAATAATAATAATAATAATAATAATAATAATAATAATAATATTTGGGTCTCTTTTAAGAGAGATTAAGCAAGATATTATTATTATTATTAACAACAATGTAATAGAATATGGATCTCTTTTAAGAAAGTTCAGGCAAGATAATAATAATAATAATAATAATAATAATAATAATAATAATAATAATTGAATTTGGGTCTTAAGAGAGATCAAGCAAGATATTAATAATAATAATTATAATAATAATAGAATTTGGGTCTTTTTAAAGAGAGATCAACAAGATATTATTATCATTAACAACAACAATATAATAGATATGGGCCTCTTTTAAGAAAAATTAAGCAAGGTAATAATAATAATAATAATAATAATAATAATAATGGTAAGTGAGTTTGGGTCTCTTTTAAGAGAGATCAAGCAAGATGATATTATTATTATTATTATTATTATTATTATTAATAATAATAATAATAAGTGAATTTGGGTCTTTGTTAAGAGAGATTAAGCAAGATATAAATAATAATAAATATAATAATAATAAATATAATAATAATAATAATAATAATAATAATAATAATAATAATAATAATAATAGAATTTGGGTTGCTTTTAAGAGAGATCAAGCAAGATATAAATGATGATTATGATAAGTGAATTTGGGTCTCTTTTAAGATTTACATAATAATAATAATAATAATAATAAGTAATGGTAAGTGGATTTGAGTCTCTTTTAAGAGAGATCAAGCAAGATACAAATAATAATAATAATAATAATAATAATAATAATAATAATAATAAGTGAATTTGGGTCTCTTTTAAGAGAGATGAAGCAAGATGACGACGATAACAATAATAATACTATAACATTAACTCTGGCCAAACCTGCAGGCCAGAGAATACTGATGAGACATTTCCCATCATCCACAGACACCTCCTAACCAGACTCGGGGTCTTTTCTCTTTTCTGCCATTCCCAGGAGCTGCCTGGCGTCTTGCGATCCGTACTGCGTTTGGTCTCGTTCCGGGGCTTGCGTCACGTTCAGCACGGAGCTCAGGTAAGTCGGGTTTGGTGTATTTTCCATCCGGAATGGGAATTGCACTTCCTTTCAAGAAGGACTGCATTTCCCAGCATCCTGCGCCAGTGCTTCAGAGGATGCTGGGATTTGCAGTCCAGAAAACTGGACGTATTGCTTACATTTCGGAAAGATTGCACCTCCCAGCTGTCAGGTAGAAATTAAATGCTGTATCAGATAGACATGCATTGCATGTAACTGTATTGTAAAAATACACTTCTATTGGACATGTGGTCACAACACATTGCATGGAAAGCGTTAAGAGAGTGGAGATGTGAGTCCTTTCCTATGATCCCAATGGAAGTGGCTTGTCTGTGCACTTCCTCTCTGCCATGTGCTTGCTCTCTGCCATCTTTTGATGCCTTGCCATGATCTCTCTGCATCTGTAATCCATCGCTATCTTTGTCATGTGAGTGTCTTGCTATGGTTGTATCTCTACATACTGATAGGTAAAAGTAAAGGTTTTCCCTTGACATTAAGTCCAGTCGTGTCCAACTCTGGTGCTCCTCTCCATTTCTAAGCTGAAGAGCTGGCATTGTCCGTAGACACCTCCAAGGTCAAGTGGCCAGCCTGACTGCATGGAGCGCCATTACCTTCCCGCTGAAGTGGTACCTATTGATCTACTCACATTTGGATGTTTTCAAACTGCCAGGTTGGCAGAAACTAGGGCTGACAGCGGGAGCTCACGCTGCTCCCCAGATTCGAACCTGCGACCACAAGTTCGGCAGCTCAGCGGTTTAACCTTCTGTGCCATCAGATGCTCTGCATACTGATAGCAGACCTGTAAATAGTTGTATGTATTTATATCCCGCCTTATCTCCCCTGAAGGAGACTCAAAGCAGCTTCGTTTGAAGCTAATAAAGCCATCAACCAATACAAAAATAACAAAGCCAGCGGACCTGATGGGATCCCTGCTGAAATTTTCAAAGAAGGTGAGCCTCTTGACTGAAGAATCAACCTCCAAAAGGAATTTGAATGAAAGCCAGAGCTCGAGTGTGCTTTTTCAAGCGGTGAGCTACGAAACAAGGTTGGAGGCTGTACTATAAAATCACGGTGATTAGGACTCTGCAGCGTTTTGGATCAGAACGTATTGCTTGCCATGGAGAGAGTCTGTCCCATTGCACCGCTGGAAGAGGAATCCATGTGCCTACCTAGCAGGGGTGTTGTGTGTACTTTACTCTTTCTCCAGCATCTTGCACAACAACCCTTTGAGGTCGTCCAGGCTCAATTTTGTGGAGTTTCATGACTTGGTCGAGACTTGAACCCGACTGGTTCCTTTAACGGCGTAAGCACATAAAACCACCCATTTTGGTTTTCATTCTGGGAGAGCTATTAAATCACTCCCTCATTTATCCTAGTCTAATATCCCCTTAGTCCTGCTCTTTGGAATGATACATTACCTTCGGTCTGTTTTTTGCGTTTACAAAGGAAAAGAAAGAAACCAATCTGTTCCTATTGATTTCCCCTCCTGGTTGCATGAGCTTTAATATATTTTTCTCTCTGTTGTAACGCATCTAAGGGAGGGGGAAAACAGGCCTTTTGGAGACTAATTGATTTCTTCCGAGAGGTTTGGGCCTGTCGTTTTAAAAACGCGTGAAGCCGGTAATGAATTTGCACAGAATCATAAAAGAAATAAAATACGGCAACAACTAGATCAAAAAGCAGGAGGGCGAGAAAATCTGCAGACATGCCTCTAGGAACAGATGATACGAGCAGAAAATTGCTGGAGGAGATAGGAGAGATTAGGACTCCGATGACAAATATGGAGAACAACCGGAAACAAGCCTTCAAAAAAAAACAAGATTCAGAAGGGAAAGAAGTCAAACAAACCCTGTGGCAGACGATACTACAAGTCAGGCAAATTCATGCAAGAGCTGAACACCTGGAAAGGAAAACAGGAACTGGGGAAAAAACAGGGCACAAATTGAAACAAGAGGCACACCTTTTTTGAAGATTTCAGCAGGGATCCCATCAGGTCCGCTGGCTTTGTTATTTCTTAATTGGTTGATGGTTTTATTGGCTTCCTCCAAACTAAGCCGCTATGAGTCTCCTTCAAGAGAGATAAATAATAATAATAATAATAATAAGAATAAGAATAAGAATAAGAATAATAATCCTTTATTTGTACCCCGCTATCATCTCCCGAAGGACTCGGTGCGGCTAACAAGAGGGTGAGCCCACATAAAGTGGGGTATAAATATAATAATAATAATAATAATAATAATAATAATAATAATAATAAGGCAGTGCTGTGAAAAAAGCCCACCTTCTTTAAAGATTTTAGCAGGGATCCCACCAGGTCCGCTGGCTTTGTTATTTTTTAATTGGTTGATGGTTTTATTGGCTTCCTCCAAATGAAACTGCTATGAGTCTCCTTCAGGAGAGATAAAGTGTGGTATAAATAATAATAATAATAATAATAATAATAATAATAATAATAATGAGGCAGTGCTGTGAAATAAGAGGCCCACCTTCTTTAAAGATTTCAGCAGGGATCCCATCAGGTCCGCTGGCTTTGTTATTTTTTAATTGGTTGATGGTTTTACTGGCTTCCTCCAAACTAAGCTGATATGAGTCTCCTTCAGGAGAGATAAAATGGGTTATAAATAAATATAATAATAATAATAATTCGCCGATACATCACACAGTCCTAGACACTTGGGAAGTGTCCGACGTGTGATCCAATACAACAGCCAGCAGAGTGATCTTGTCTGCTGTGGACTCATCTTGTTGTGTTTCTAATAATAATAATAATAATAATAATAAGGCAGTGCTGTGAAACAAGAGGCCCACCTTCTTTAAAGATTTCAGCAGGGATCCCATCGGGTCCGCTGGCTTTGTTATTTTTTAATTGGTTGATGGTTTTACTGATTTCCTCCAAACTAAGCCACTATGAATCTCCTTCAGGAGAGATAAAGTGGGTTATAAATAAATAAATATAATAATAATAATAATAATAATAATAATAATAATAATAATAATTCGCAGATACATCACACGGTCCTAGACACTTGGGAGGTGTCTGACATGTGATCCAATACAACAGCCAGCAGAGTGATCTTGTCTGCTGTGGACTCATCTTGTTGTATTTCTAATAATAATAATAATAATAATAATAATAATAATAATAATAATAATAGCAGTGCTGTGAAACAAGAGGCCCACCTTCTTTAAAGATTTCAGCAGGGATCCCATCAGGTCCGCTGGCCTTGTTATTTTTTATCAGGCCAACGAGTGACCATCACTCATAAAAATACTGAAAAACACAGCAGAGGGGACTTAAAAAGCCAAAAAAATAATAAATACATTACAACGCATGCACAAAACTACACATATACACAAATATATACACACACAAAACACATATACACAGACTGGGCCACAGCAAAGTGTGGCAGGGGATGGCTAGTATACAATAATATTGTGTGTGTGTGTGAACATTACATTTGTATTTATATAGATTGTGTGTGTGTGTGTGTGAACATTACATTTGTATTTATATAGATTGTGTGTGTGTGTGTATACACACACACACACACACACACACACATACACATATATGCATACGTGTGCAGACATTCATTATTAGGAGCTGCCGGGGCCCAATCCATCATCCGTCCCCAATGAAGGAGTCGGGCACTTTCCTGGGCGCTTGCCAATTGATGAATTAGCAGAAGATGCAATCAAGCCAGCAGGCTTGTCCTAATGAGATTTCTTCTCCCTTTCCCTCCCTCTCTTTCGTTCCTTCCCTCCCTTCCTTCTCAGCAGGAGCGGATTCGAGCAAGACGTGGAAAACACCGCCAAGAACTCGGGGAACTGTCAAGGTGAGGCGTCTTGGGGAGAAAGGGAAGGGAACTGATCTTCCGCAAAGGACTCAGAGGAGTCGGTTTGGGCATCAAAACGAGACACCTGGTTGCCGTTGCCTGTCTCTGATCCTCGTGCGGGTTTTGTTTCGTAGATGATGATGCCGCCATGTTTTCGTTCACATTTTAAAAAATGACATGCACAGATATAGCCTGGAAATGGAGATCTAGGAGTCTTAGTGGACCCCAAGCGGAACATGAGCCAACAGTGTGGTGCGGCAGCAAAACAGGCCAATGCAATTCTCGACTGCATCAATAGGACTCCAGTATCTAGATCAGTGTTTCTCTACCTGAGGGTCTCAACCCCTGGGAGGGTCGCAAGGGGATTTCAGAGGGGTCACCAAAAACCATCAGGAAACATATATTTCTGATGGTCTCAGGAACCCCTTTGGCAGAGAAGGATGAAGATCCCTCCATCCTGCTCTTCCCTTTTGGAAACATAGGGTGAATCCCCCACCAAAAGCCCTCCTCCACTGTGATTGGTCGGCCTTTCAACCAAGGGGAGGACTGTTTCTGAGACTCCAAGCAGGGAGGGGAGAACAGGAGTTGCAGCACATGGCAGCATGGTGCACATCTGCATATGAGGGAGAGCGTGTGAGGCTGGAGGGAGACTCACACCAGTGAGTGAGGGAGAGCATGCAAAGTTGGAGGGAGACTCACACCAGTGAGTGAGGGAGAACATGCAAGGCATGGGAAGGTTAGCCCATTTCTATTGTTGGTGGGGTTCAGAATGCTCTTTGATTACAGGCGAACTATAAATCCCAGCAACTACAACTCCCAAATATCAAGGTCTATTTTCCCCAAACTCCACCAGTGTTCACATTTGGGCTTATTGAGTATTCGTGCCAAGTTTGGTCCAGATCCATCATTGTTTGGGCCCACAGTGTTCTCTGAATGTAAGTGAACTACAACTCCAAAAATCAAGGTCAACGCCCACCAAACGCTTCCAATATTTTCTGTTGGTCATGGGAGTTCTGTGTGCCAAGACTGGTTCAATTCCATCATTGGTGGGGTTCAGAATGCTCTTTGGTTGCAGGTGAAGTATAAATCCCAGCAACTACAACTCCCAAATATCAAGATCTATTTTCCCCAAATTCCACCAGTGTTTGCATTTGGGCATTTGAGTATTTATACCAAGTTTGGTTCAGATCCATCATTGTTTGGGTCCAGAGTGCTCTCTGGATGTAGATGAACTATAACTCCAAAACTCAAGGTGAATCTGCACCAAACCCTCTTCTCACTCTAACGCAGTGTTGCCTGAACTGAATTTAAGGTATAGAACTTGTTGCTTAATAGTTCTTAATGGTCAATACTCACCCAATCCTTCCAGTGTTTTGTGTTAATTATGGGAGTTGTGTGTGCCAAGTGTGGTTCAACTCCATCCTTGGTGGATGCTTTTTGTGAGTGAACTATAAATCCCAGCAACTACAACTCCCAAATGACAAAATCAATCTCCCCCACCAACCCCACCAGTATTCAAATTTGGTCCAGTGACTGAAAGTACATCCTGCATATCAGATATTTACATGGCGATTCATAACAGGACCAAAATTACAGTTGTGAAGTAGCAACGAAAATAATGTTATGGTTGGGGGTCACCACAACATGAGGAACTGTATCAAGGGGTCGCAGCATTAGGAAGGTTGAGAAACACTGGTCTAGATCGAGGGAAGTGGCAGTCCCACTCTCTTCTGCTTGGGTCAGACCTCACCTGGAATAACCCTGTGTCCAATCTGAGCAAAGCAATCCAAGAGAAGTATTGACCAGCTGGAAGATGTCCAGAGAATGGTGGCCAAAACGATCACAGAGTTGGAAGCCAAGATTCCATTTTTTTGGCAATATGGTAAAATTGAGTGGCCTCAAAAGCTTGGGTTCGCTTCCTAAACACTCTGCGGGACTCTATTGAGCATTTCTGCTCTGCTGAAATGAATTTTTTCGATGCATTTCTGACCATGTGTTTGCAGGATGGATTTTCATTCACTGGACCAAATTTGGATTGATTTTGTCATTTGGGAGTTGTAGTTACTGGGATTTATAGTTCACCTACAACCAAAGAGCATTCTGAACTCCACCAACGATGGAATTGAACCAAACTTGGCACACAGAACTCCTGGGACCAACTGAAAATACGGGAAGGGTTTGGTGGGCGTTGAACTTGATTTTTGGAGTTGTAGTTCACCTACATCCAGAGAGCATTGTGGACACAAACTATGATGGATCTGGACCAAACTTGGCATGGACACTCTATATGCCCAAATGTGAACACTGGTGGAGTTTGGGGGAAACACGCCTTGACATTTGGGAGTTGTAGTTGCTGGGATTTATAGTTCACCTACAACCAAAGAGCATTCTGAACTCCACCAACCAGGGAATTGAACCAAATTTCCCACACAAAACTCCCAACAGAACACAATAGAAGGGTTTGGTGGGCATTGATCCTGAGTTTGGGAGTTGTAGTTCACCTACATCCAGAGAGCACTGTGGACTCAAACAATGATGAATCAGGACCAAACTTGGCACGGATATTCAATATACCCAAATGTGAACACAGGTGGAATTTGAGGAAAATAGACATTCACGGTTGGGAGTTGTAGTTACTGGGATTTATAGTTCACCTACACTCATAGAGCATTCTGAACTCGACCAATGATGGGTCTGGACTAAACTTGGCACGAATATTCAATATGTTGACATTTGGACATATAGTGGTGTTTTGGGAAAATAGACCTTGTCATTTGGGAGTTGTAGTTGCTGGGATTTATAGTTCACCTACAATCGAGAGTATTCTGAACCTCACCAATGATAGAATTGGGCCAAACTTCCCACACAGAACCCTCATGACCAGCAGAAAAGACTGTGTTTTCTTATTGTCTTTGGCGACCCCTCTGACACCCTCTCACGACCCCCTTCCCTAGGGAAACTGGTTGTGGGAACCGTCACAATATCCACAACATCAACATTTTGGAAGTGACCATAGTTGTCAGGTTTTTGCATCTCTGATTTCAGCTTTCTTGGAGAGTTTGGCATGACTCTCTGTTGTTCCCACCCACAACTTGCTTTTGCTTTTCCCATTGGCACCTGAACCCAGCTTCCCAAATGCCCACCTCTCCTTGGCCCATCACCTCGCTGGCTTCCCACCCCATTTCTGATCTCCTCCTTTCCTTTCTAGATGTCGTATCCGCCACCGGGAACCACGATGGCACCATTGACTCCGCTTACGGTTAGTACCTCCCTTAGCGCTTCCCCTTCCTTGGCTCCCTCAATGGCTTATTCCCTCTCCTTTTTTGTTTGGTAGTATCCCAAAGTCTGGCTCAGGGGTCCAAAGTGTGGCATTTTGGGTCATATTGGAAAACCTGAACATGGTGCCAACTTGATGGAATGCCATTTGGGGAATATTTTGCTTCTCTCCAGAAGGCTACTGGTTGTGGTTTTGGTGTCACCTCTTTCGGGGGGAAAGTCCCAAAGGTTTCTTTATGTGATGGAGATGTGAAGATAGGCCTCCCACAGGTTCAGCCTTTACATTATGGACACCTTTACATTGGGAAGCCTTAACATGGTGCAGTGTTGATGGAATGGCATTTAGGGAATACACAATGGTGGTTGCCCTCTCCAGAAGGCTACCAGTTATGGTTTGGGGGCCAGTCCTTTCCAGGAAAAGGTCCCAAAGCTGCCATTATGTTATGTAAATATGAAGATAGGCATCTAGAAGGTTCAGCCTTTACATTATAGAGATATGAAGATACGCCTCCTACGAGTTAAGCCTTTACATTATAGAGATATGAAGATATGCCTCATACAAGTTCAACCTTTACATTATAGAGATGTGAAGGTAGGCATCTAGCAGGTTCGGTCTTTACATTACAGTGATGTTAAGATAGGCCTCCTGCAATTTCAGCCTTTACATTATGGAGATAAGACCACAGGTATAGCCTTTACATTATGGAGATATAAAGGTAGGCATCTAGCAGGCTTTGCCTTTACATTATAAAAATATGAAGATACGGCTCCTACAAGTTCAGCCTTTACATTATAGAGATATGAGTTCAGCCTCCTGAAATTCAACCTTTACATTATGGAAATATGAAGGTAGACATCTAGCAGGTTCAGACTTTACATTATAGAGATATGAAGATACACCTCCTACAAGTTCAGCCTTTACATTATAGAGATGAGTTTGGCCTCCTGAAAATTCAACCTTTACATTATAGAGATATGAAGGTAGGCATCTAGCAGGTTCAGTCTTTACATTACAGTGATGTTAAGATAGGCCTCCTGCAATTTCAGCCTTTACATTATGGAGATAAGCCCACAGGTATAGCCTTTACATTATGGAGATATGAAGGTAGGCATCTAGCAGGCTCTGCCTTTACATTATAGAGATGTAAAGGTAGGTCTCCTGCAAGTTCAGCCTTTACATTATAAAGATATGAGTTCAGCCTCCTGAAATTCAACCTTTACATTATGGAGATATGAAGGTAGGCCTCCCGCAGATTCAGCCTTTACATTATGGAGATATGAAGGTAGGCATTTAACAGGTTCAGTCTTTACATTATAGAGATATGTATATATACCTCCTACAAGTTCATCCTTTACATTATAGAGATATGAGTTCAGCCTCCTGAAATTCAACCTTTACATTATGGAGATATGAAGGTGGGCCTCCTGCAGATTCAGCTTTTACATTATGGAGATATGAAGATAGGCATTTAGCAGGTTCAGCCTGTACATTATAGAGATATGAAGATACGCCTCCTATGAGTTAAGCCTTTACATTATAGAGATATGAAGGTACGCTTCCTACAAACTCAGACATTACATAATAGAGATACGAAGGTAGGCATCTAGCAGGTTCAGCCTTTACATTATAGAAATGTGAGTTCAGCCTCCCGCACATTCAGCCTTTACATTATGGAGATGTGAAGATAGGCATCTAGCAGGTTCAGTCTTTACATTATAGAGATGTAAAGATAGGCCTCCTGCAATTTCAGCTTTACATTATGGAGATATGAAGATACGCATCCAGCAGGTTCAACTTCCAATTGTAAATGTTGCCTCAAGACGAGAACCAGTCAACTCCTGTTTTGATTGATGTGGCTTCAAATCACCAAGAGCCACTTGCCAACCTTTTTTTAACATTTACCAAAGGAAAGAGAATCACCACTGTTTTGGGAATCGTGCAAAGCCAGTTTCGGAACAAACACCCCCTTGAAAGACTCGAGCAATGCTCCATCCCTCATTGCATCTCGTCCCATCTGGCACCATTTCTAATTCCATCCCATCCAATTCCATTTGCCTCCCCCACCTTGCCATCTTCAGAGGAAGATGTCATTCATTTTCACCCATTTGTCGGTCATTTTGGCGAGTAGAAAATAGAGTTAGAGTGTTGCTGAGCCAAAAGGCTCGGGACTAACAATGTTTCGGGTTCGGATTTTGGAATATTTGCACGTCCATAATGGAGATCCCCCTGGATCCCACATCTAAACGTGATATTTATGTTTTTAGCAATGTTGTGCAGGAAGCAACGTTTGCATGCCTTGAACCACTCGGAAAAAAAGCGCTGTCACTCTCTCAGCCACTCAAGTGGACCATGTGGGAGTATCCCACGTCAGGAATGTTCGATCCATATATTCTTTAGCAAAGCAACTTTATTACCTCGGTGGCGCAGTGGGTTAAAGCACTGAGCTGCTGAGCTTGTTGATCGAAAGGTCACAGGTTCGATTCCGGGGAGCGGCGTGAGCTTCCGCTGTCAGCCCTAGCTTCTGCCAACCTAGCAGTTCGAAAACATGCAAATGTGAGTAGATCAATAGGTACCGCTCCGGCGGGAAGGTAACGGCGCTCCATGCAGGCATGCCGGCCACATGACCTTGGAGGTGTCTACGGACAACGCTGGCTCTTCGGCTTAGAAATGGAGATGAGCACCACACCCCAGAGTCAGACATGACTGGACTTAATGTCAGGGGACTACCTTTACCTTTACCTAAACTCTGCAACATGGCCACTGTTCAGTCCCCACAGACGTCGGGCCAAAGTGGAGTTAGTTATCTTGGAAAACATTCCGAAGAAAACCTGTTAAAACAATTTCGGGAAGGAGCTGGCAGAACCACCTCTGATGCTACAATAATACTACGAAATTTAGGACAAGTTGGAGACGGAAGATGCATGCCCAAAACGTGCCCGTCTGGCCCCTTTGCCAACCTCGTTACGGGGCCTCGTCTTCCTCCACTTTCAGCCCCCTTTTTAAAGTATTTTTGGGGTCATCCGAGGGTGATACGAGCGAGAGGGGGCTGTCTACCAGAACTGCAGGTTTCCCATTTCTCCTTGGCACTCTCTCCATCCAAACCTTGGCAGCATGGCTCCCGCCTCCATAAGCAAAGCAAAAGAGAGAGAGACGAGAAATGGGAAACAGCTCGGGAAGCGTCTGGGATTCATTACGGACTTTTGGCAAGAGTTTTTGGAGAGGGACGTCTGACACGCAGGCAGGCCCTGGTTTGGCCGGCTGACAACCGAATCCGGCAATTTTGCCGGAGGAGCAGACTGTGTTCGAAAGACTTGCGACACAGCACCCTACTTTAGCTTTGGGGCCTCTCTGGGTCTGTGTAACAAGGACCTTGTGGATGTGGCATTAATGCAACACAGATGGACACGTTTCACTCCCGTCTGCGGACGTAATTTGCAAAGTCAGTCTGAAACAAATCAGGATTAAATTCTTCCCTGGTTTAGATATCGAATGGGTGCTTAAGGTGAAAGTACCGAATTGATGTTTAAGGTGTAGGTACCGAATGGGCGCTTAAGGTGTAGATACCGAATGGGTGCTTAAGGTGTAGGTACCGAATGGGTGTTTAAAGTGTAGGTACCGAATGGGCGCTTAAGGTGTAGGTACCGAATGGGCGCTTAAGGTGTAGGTACCGAATGGGTGCTTAAGGTGTAGGTACCGAATGGGCGCTTAAGGTGTAGGTACCGAATGGGCGCTTAAGGTGTAGGTACCGAATGGGCGCTTAAGGTGTAGGTACCGAATGGGCGCTTAAGGTGTAGGTACCGAATGGGCGCTTAAGGTGTAGGTACCGAATGGGCGCTTAAGGTGTAGGTACCGAATGGGCGCTTAAGGTGTAGGTACCGAATGGGCGCTTAAGGTGTAGGTACCGAATGGGCGCTTAAGGTGTAGGTACCGAATGGGCGCTTAAGGTGTAGGTACCGAATGGGCGCTTAAGGTGTAGGTACCGAATGGGCGCTTAAGGTGTAGGTACCGAATGGGCGCTTAAGGTGTAGGTACCGAATGGGCGCTTAAGGTGTAGGTACCGAATGGGCGCTTAAGGTGTAGGTACCGAATGGGCGCTTAAGGTGTAGGTACCGAATGGGCGCTTAAGGTGTAGGTACCGAATGGGCGCTTAAGGTGTAGGTACCGAATGGGCGCTTAAGGTGTAGGTACCGAATGGGCGCTTAAGGTGTAGGTACCGAATGGGCGCTTAAGGTGTAGGTACCGAATGGGCGCTTAAGGTGTAGGTACCGAATGGGCGCTTAAGGTGTAGGTACCGAATGGGCGCTTAAGGTGTAGGTACCGAATGGGCGCTTAAGGTGTAGGTACCGAATGGGCGCTTAAGGTGTAGGTACCGAATGGGCGCTTAAGGTGTAGGTACCGAATGGGCGCTTAAGGTGTAGGTACCGAATGGGCGCTTAAGGTGTAGGTACCGAATGGGCGCTTAAGGTGTAGGTACCGAATGGGCGCTTAAGGTGTAGGTACCGAAAGGGTGCTTAAGGTGTAGGTACCGAATGGGCGCTTAAGGTGTAGGTACCGAATGGGCGCTTAAGGTGTAGGTACCGAATGGGCGCTTAAGGTGTAGGTACCGAATGGGCGCTTAAGGTATACCAAATGGGAGAACGTCCAAGAATCCGAGGTCCTTAGAGGTCTGAGAGGGTGGTCCAAACCATTGTGTCAGTTTTGCCAAGGAAGCAGTAGGCCAGAATTGGTCCGAGGTCCGAACTATTTTGGGTGCTACCCTCTTCCTCCAGATGGTGGTCACTTTTGCCGGTGACCGTCCCCTCCGTTTCTCCATTTCCTCCAACGTCGCCGCTCGCTGACGCTTTATTTGTCACCGGTCACGCAGGGGAGACGCCGACCACCACTACCACCGCTGCCGCCTCCTCCACAGCCCCTTTTCGGGAGATGCCCACGGGGCCTGTGCCCACTAGCGTGGCTCCCGGTGCCCACCGGGCCCCTGACGCCGGGGGCCCCCGCTCCACTCTCCATGTGGCTGTGAGCACCCAGGGTAAGACCGGGACAAAGCCGATGCCTCAATCCGGATGCAACCCCTGCACTGCCCCGTAACCAAACGCCTGCGCTAGATTCCACTAATCCGCCGCACTGACGCATGCGGACTGCAGATGTCGGCGCACCGTTGCCTTCGGATCTTGCATGGTGTGTTTCTGTCTCAGAAAGGGAAGGATTATCTAGTGTGTGTGTATTTGCAGACTCGCATTGGGCAAGCTAGTCATAGTTCCTGTCCGTTACGTCCCAGAAAAGGCTTTTGGGATGCCGTCATCCACAGGCATCTGGACTGTGCAGATGGGATCTGTAGTCCAGCCCCAATTGGGAAACCAGCCAGACCGGGAAGTCCTGGAAACAGATGTTTCCCTATTGTGCAGACATTGGATTTCCTGTTTTGTTGCAGAGGAAGAGAGAAAGGGAGGGTGGAATGTATGGAAGGATTGGTTCGGTCATGGGGGTCCTTTTGGAAAGACGACACTGCCTTCACCATATCTATCTATCTATCTATCTATCTATCTATCTATCTATCTATCTATATATATATGTTGGATACAGCTGTACAAAGAAATAGTCTATAGACTCTTATATAGACTAAACCCATTTGATATTAATCTGAAAATATTTTGGCCATTTAAACACTGCTTGTTTCCACCGTCATCATCAGCATCATCATCATCATCATCATCCCATGCCTTTTCCCAATCCAGGCATCCTATGTACGTATATACGTCAAAAGGATATACGTGTGTTGGTTGGTTTGTCCCCCAAAGGCTCCTCCAGGGACGGATGGATCCAGGACCCAACTTGGCACGCATTTCCTCCACGATCCAACGTAAAATAATAAAAGGGTTTGAATGTAAAGACCCTTCCCGTTTGGGCCCAGAAAAGGAAGAAAGCGGATTGGACGTTGCGAGGTGAAGTGGCCCTCTGTGACGTCACTGGGGAAGACCAGGAGTGAAGCATCTGTGAGAGGAAGGAAGGGAATAAAGAGAAAAAGAGAAGGGAGGGAGGGAGGAAAGGAAGAAAATGAAGGGAAGGGAAGGAAGGAAAGAAAGAAGGAAGGAAGGAAAGAAAGAAAAAGGAAGGAAAGAGAAAGAAAAGAAGGAAAGGGAAGGGAGGGAAGGAAGGAAGGAAAGGGAAAGAAGAGGAGAAGGAAGGAAAAGAAGGAAGGGAGGAAGGAAGGGGGAAAGGAAATGGAGAAGGAAGGAAAGAAAGATAAAGAAGCAAAAGGAAATGGAGAAGGAAGGAAGAAAAGAAGGTAAGAAAAAGAAGACAAAAAGGAAATCAAGGGAGAAGGAAGGAAGGAAGGAAGGGGAAAGAAAATTGAGAAGGAAGGGAGGAAGGAAGGGGGAAAGGAAATGGAGAAGGAAGGAAAGAAAGATAAAGAAGCAAAAGGAAATGGAGAAGGAAGGAAGAAAAGAAGGTAAGAAAAAGAAGATAAAAGGACAGAGAAGGAAGGAAAGGAAGGAAGGAAGGAAGGAAGGAAGGAAGGAAGGAAGGAAGGAAGGAAGAAGGGAAAGAAAATTGAGAAGGAAGGGAGGAAGGAAGGGGGAAAGGAAATGGAGAAGGAAGGAAAGAAAGATAAAGAAGCAAAAGGAAATGGAGAAGGAAGGAAGAAAAGAAGGTAAGAAAAAGAAGATAAAAGGAAATCAAGGGAGAAGGAAGGAAGGAAGGAAGGAAGGGGAAAGAAAATTGAGAAGGAAGGGAGGGAGGAAGGAAAGGGGAAAGGAAATGGAGAAGGAAGGAAGGAAGGAAAGAAAGATAAAGAAGGAAAAGGAAATGGAGAAGGAAGGAAGGAAAGAAAAAGAAGATAAAGGGGAAATGAGGGAGAAGGAAGGAAGGAAGGAAGGAAGGAAGGAAGGAAGGAAGGAAGGAAGGAAGGAAAAATAAGAAAGAAAGAAAGAAAGAAAGAGGAAGGAAGGAAGGAAGGAAGGAAGGAAGGAAGGAAGGAAGGAAGGAAAGAAAAATAGGAGGGGAAGGAAATGAAGGAAGAAGGAAGGAAAGAAGAGAAAGGAATAAGGAAGAAGGAAAGAAAGAAAAATAATAAAAGAAGGGGAAAGGGAAATGGAGAAGGACGCAAGAAAGGAAAGGGGAAAGAATGGAAGGGAGAAGGAAGGAAAGGAAGGAAGAAAGAGGGAAGATGATTCCGCCCTTTTCTCGCAATTGCATGGAGTTCTCTCTTCTTTTTCCCACTCGTTTCCACTCCTCTCGTGATAACCCTTCGACCTAAAAAAGTCCTGTCATGTTACTAATTGCACTGGCATGTTGGCATCGGTTGGAGATCCTCCTTAACGCAACGTAACTTTCCCAAAGTTTTGTATTTTCCACCAGCTGAATATATGTAGAAATATTTCACTGTCTTTCCTTTGGTGAATTTGGGTTACTTTTGGATATCAAAGTACATCAATATTTGGGTTCAATGAAGTTCTTGGGGTGAATCTACACTGTCGAATGAATGCAGTTTTGCATTGCTATAGAATCCTGAGAATTGTAGTTTTACAAGGTCTTTCAGCATCTCTGCCAAAAAGGAATGATGCCTCACCAAACATATTATTATTATTATTATTATTATTATTATTAGTAGTAGTAGTAGTAGTAGTAGTAGTAGCAGCAAAATAATATGTTTAATATTATGATTATTACTATTAATAGTAACATAAAAATAATAATTTTAATATTATTATTATATTAATAGTAACTGCAAAATAATAACAATATAATAATAATGTTTATTATTATATTTATAGTCGTCGCAAAATAATTTATTAATATTTAATATTATTATTACTATTATATTTATAGTAGCTGCAAAATAATAATAATCATAACAATAATAATGTTTATTATATTTTTAGTAGATGCAAAATAATAATAATGTATTAATATTTAATATTATTATTACTATTATATTTATAGTTGCTGCAAAATAATAATAATCATAACAATCATAACAATGTTTATTATTATATTTATAGTAACTGCATAATAATAATTTATTAATATTTAATATTATTATTACTATTATATTTATAGTAGATGCAAAATAATAATAATGTATTAATATTTAATATTATTATTACTATTATATTTATAGTTGCTGCAAAATAATAATAATCATAACAATCATAACAATGTTTATTATTATATTTATAGTAACTGCATAATAATAATTTATTAATATTTAATATTATTATTACTATTATATTTATAGTAGATGCAAAATAATAATAATGTATTAATATTTAATATTATTATTACTATTATATTTATAGTTGCTGCAAAATAATAATAATCATAACAATCATAACAATGTTTATTATTATATTTATAGTAACTGCATAATAATAATTTATTAATATTTAATATTATTATTACTATTATATTGATAGTAGCCACAAAATAATAATAATCATAACAATAATAATGTTTATTATTATATTTATAGTAGCTGCAAAATAATAATAATTTATTAATATTTAATATTATTATTACTATTATATTGATAGTAGCCACAAAATAATAATAATCATAACAATAATAATGTTTATTATTATATTTATAGTAGCTGCAAAATAATAATAATTTATTAATATTTAATATTATTATTACTATTATATTTATAGTAGCCGCAAAATAATAATCATAACAATAATAATGTTTATTATTATATTTATAGTAGCTGCAAAATAATTTATTATTATTATTATTATTATTATTATTATTATTATTATTATTATTATCCTCCTCCTTTTTCACCTCTATCTGCTCTTCTTTCCTTTCATTCTACCATCTGCTTTTTCCATTCCTTCTTTCCTTCCTTCCCCCTTTCCTTCCTTTCTTCGCCTCTCTTATGTCCCGTTTCATTCCTTTCCTTTGATGACTTTTCCAGATTGTCTGGAACTTCGGCTTTGGCCGCCGAATCCGTCATGAACTGGAAAGCATTTGGAGTTGTTTTCCTATTTCCTTTTCAACAAACCCGTTGTGTTTGCCTCGAAAAGACCTTGCAAAACTACAAATCCCCAGAATAACACCAAGCCATTTCAGCCACTTTGCTTCCCATCCATCATCCCATGCCATTTCCGTATTATCCGTGCTTAACCATCCTGTTTTCCAAAAATATAGGTTGGATGGTATACGTACTATTCGGACTAAAAACCGGAGCGGATATTTCTCCTCTTCCCTCCTTTCGGGGTACATAGATAAGTGGCCAATCTGCTCTGGGTTGCAGTCCGAACTGGAAAAGGTGCTCTCCAAGATGGCGAAAAAATAGGTCCAGTTCGGACTAAAACCCGGAGCGGATATTCCTCCTCTTGTACTTCTTTGGTAGGTTTGATGAGAGTGACCGATCTGCTGTGGGTTGTAGTCCAAAACTTGCCTTGAACCGTGTTGGAGAGCGCTCTCTAAGACTCTTTAAGAATAGATTGTGTGGTGCCTTTACTATTTGCACTAAAACCCGGAGCGGATATTCCTCCTCTCCCTACTCCTTTAGTGGGGTAGAAGAGAGTGGCCGATATGCTCTGGCTTGTAGTCCAAAATTTGCATTGAATCATGTTGGAGAGCGGTCTCTAAGACTCTTTAAGAATCGATTGTGTGGTGCCTTTGCTATTCGGACTAAAACCCGGAGCGGATATTCCTCACTACTTCTTTAGTGGGGTAGATGAGAGTGGCCAATCTACTCTGGGTTGTAGTCCAAAACTTGCATTGAATCATGTTGGAGAGCACTCTCTAAGATAATTTAAGAATAGATTGTGTGGTGCCTTTACTGTTCGCACTAAAACCCGGAGCGGATATTCCTCCTCTCCTACTGTGGGGTTATTGAAAGTGACCGATCTGTTCTGGCTTGTGGTCCAAAATTTGCCTTGGATCATCTTGGAGACCACTCTCTAAGATAATTTAAGAATAGATTGTGCGGTGCCTTTACTGTTCGGACTAAAACCCGGAGCGGATATTCCTCCTCTCCTACTCCTTTGGTGGGGCAGATGTGAGTGACCGATCCGCTCTGTCTTGTGGTCCAAAATTTGCCTTGGATCATCTTGGAGAGCGCTCTCTAGACACTTTAAATATAGATTGTATGGCACCTTTAATGTTCGGACTGTAACCCAAAGCGGATATTCCTCCTCTCCTACTCCTATGGTGGGGTAGATGAGAGTGGCCAGTCCGCTCTGTCTTGTGGTCCAAAAGTTGCATTGCGGTATATTGGAGAGTGGCCTCAAAATAGATTGCTCGGCACCATTACTGTTCGGACCAAAACCCGGAGCGGATTATCCCCCCCACTGCTCTGGGAGCCCATCAGGGTTGGGGTGGGGTATGTCTCACCTCCTAATTCTCTTATGCCTTTCCACGCTAGGAGTGCGTCAAGACCTGGACGGCCGGGACGGACTCCAGACGGTCCACTTCACCTTCCTGATCGGCTGCGTCTTTTTGGCATTCGTCTTGGGCGCCTTCCTCTCGGGCTTGCTGGTCTCCTGCTATTGCAACCACAACTTCCAGAAGGCCAAGCACGCCGGCAAAGATCCCGAAGGTGGTGGCGGCGGCGGCAATGGCAGCGCCCAGCGCCCGCTCTCCTTGCGGAGCCTGGCCAAAATGAACGGCCTCTTGGAGAACCAGTCCAAGGACGGCCTGCCGGATGGAGGAGGAACCAAGCTCTACACCACTTTACTACCCAACGAGAAGGAGCCGCTTCCGCCCGGAGCGGGAGCCAAACCCGGCCTGAAGGACCACCACCCGGAGTTGTCTGCTTTGCCCACGCCCGAATCGACGCCGGAGCTGCCCATGAAGAACATGAAGGCCATCCGCAACCAGTGGGAGAAGAACCAGAACTTCAACAACGCCAAGGAGAGCCAAGGCAAGCCCTCCTTCTTCCACGCCGCCAACCCGCCGGCCTTCTCCTACCCGCCGGTGCACGGCTACGAGGCCCCCTTCCTGGGCTACCAGGACGAGAAGAAGATCCCCAACTCGGAGCGGGTGCTGGTGCGCCACTCCCAGTGCTTCCTCCCCAAAGGGATGGAGGTCACCACCTTGGAGGAGCTGCTCAAGCACCTCCACGAGACCAATGGCCACAACCCCAAGGTGGTCCACTTCCCCAACGCGGCCGCTCTCTCCTTCGCCAACCGCGTCCAGCCCAAGATCCCCGACGTCGAGAGCGCCCCGTATTACAGCTCCTCCACACTACCCCGGGATAGTTTGCCGCGGAGGCTCGACGTCCCGCCCGACCCTCCGCCGCCTCTGCCGGGGGGCTTGGACAAGCCGGGGCGACACCCGGCACACAGACACTCGCTCTGCGGAGCACCCAAATTGGTGAACGCCGGCGGCGGAGGGATGATCGCCCGGCATCATAGCTTGAGCCAAGCGGGGAGGCCGCCTCCGCCGCTCCTGACCCGGATGCACTCCACGGGCACCTCATTGCCCCACGAAGGGCACCCCCATGCCCTCTTCCTCTCCCGGCAGCACAGTTACGGGGACCCCGTCTTGCTGCCGGGCCACGGAGGCATGCGGCGCTCGGTCTCCATGATGAAGCCCGGCAATTGCCCCTCGCAGCCGCTCTTCATGCCGTCGTCGTCTCCGCCGGGTACTCAGTCCTCCGGGCCGTTCAATTACTGAGCGGGTTTTGATGCATCTTCAGACTTGAGGGGGGGATCGCCGTAGGCGTAAATTCGAGGGAAAGAAGGTGGAGAGATCGCATACAGTTGTGCCTTGCGACACAGAAAAGGGCACGTCCGGTACGGGAAATGGCCAGAGGGATTTAATAGGCCACTCCAGTTATGGGCAGGTTCCTATCCGAACCGGAGTATGCAATCCTCGGCCGTCGACGGCGAGGACTTTGGGCGCCCCGATCCCAAACCCAGGATATGCAAACTATATAGAGGTGGGTCCACATGCGGCCCGTATCCGACCTTCCAGTGCCGTTTTTTAGCGAGCGAATGTGACCTCGTAGCCTTTCCCAAAGTCGCCCTCCGCCGAGCGATAGGCAGCGGACACTTTCTTCCTCCACCATGTCCCACCGTTCTGGATCTGGGTTTGGAAAATCGTTTCTTGGGTGGCGAAAATAGTCGCGGAAAGAGGAGAAGACTTTGGAGGTCGTTCTGCGCGAAGCGAAGGAGGTCGGCCTTGATGGCTACCGAAAGACGTCGGACCACGTTTCGCTTTGTTTTCAGTGCCCTTAACTTTATCCATGAAGACTATAAACATGCGTCTTGGATTATTATTGTCCTTCCAGAATTGATATTACAATTGTGTTTGGGTGGGAAAGCGTATTGGTAGCTATAACGGGGCATCTTCCTGGTGGAAGTCAAAGTCTGTGAGAAGATAATTGGAAGGTCTCCAAAGTAGCCTCATGGAGCGTCTCGATAGGCTTCTTGGGAAAGCCAATGCACCAAAATTCTGCAGCGACTCGTCTAAATTAACTATGTTAATGGTTGGAAGCCCACCTTAAAAGCCAGCAGCCGCATTAAGCATTGCAAGATCTGTCCTGTTGCAAAGGTGACTTGTTTCTCGTTCTCTATTTCCCGCAAAAGGAGAGGAATTGTCATCGGATCCTTTGGTCCGGATCCCATTTGTTTGCCGAGATCACTACTTGCAATGCCTTTCCTTTTGGTGTAAAGAGAGGCTGCTGGCTCTAAAGGTGGGCTTTGGAAGAGGTATCAGTAGTGTCTTCTTCATGGACATGGACATAGACATGGGTCCGTGGATATAGACATGGACGTTTGGAAAAGCTATCAGTAGTGTCTTACTCATGGACATGGACATGGACACATGGACATGGACATAGGTCCATGGACATAGGTCAGTGAATGTGGACATATGGACATGGACATTGACATTTGGAAGAGCTATCAGTAGTGTCTTACTCATGACATGGACATGGACACATGGACATGGACATAGGTCCATGGACATAGGTCAGTGAATGTGGACATATGGACATGGACATTGACATTTGGAAGAGCTATCAGTAGTGTCTTACTCATTGACATGAACATGGACACATGGACATGGGTAAATGAACGTGGACATATGGACATGGACATTTGGAAGAGCAATCAGAAGTGTCTTATTCATGGACATGGACATGAGACCATGGACATAGGTCAATGAACATGGACATATGGACATGGACATGTGGACATGGACATGGACATTTGGAAGAGCTATCAGTAGTGTCTTACTCATGGACATGGACATGGACACATAGACATGGACATAGGTCCATAGACATAGGTCAATGAATGTGGACATATGGACATGGACATGTGGACATGTACATTTGGAAGAGCTATCAGTAGTGTCTTATTCATGGACATGGACATAGGTCCATGGACATAGGTCAATGAACATGGACATATGGACATGGACATGGGTCCATGGACATGGACATTTGGAAGAGCTATCAGTAGTGTCTTATTCATGGACATGGACATGGACACATGGACATAGGTCAATGACCGTGGACATCTGGACATGGACATTGGACATTTGGAAGAGCTATCAGTAGTATCTTATTCATGGACAAGGGTCCATGGACATAGACATGGGCACATGGACATAGGTCAATGGACATGGACATATGGAAGAGCTATTAGTAGTGTCTTAATCATGGACATGGACACATAGACATGGACACATGGACATGGACATAGGTCAATGAACGTGGACATATGGACATGGACATTGGACATTTGGAAGAGCTATCAGTAGTATCTTATTCATGGACATGGACATGGGTCCATGGACATAGACATGGACACATTGACATGGACATGGACACATTGACATGGACATGGGTCCATGGACATAGGTCAATGGACATGGACATATGGAAGAGCTATCAGTAGTGTCTTATTCATGGACATGGTTCCATGGGCATAGACATGGAGACATGGACATGGGTCCATGGACATAGGTCAATGGACATGGACATATGGACATGGACATTTGGAAGAGGTATCAGTAGTGTCTTATTCATGGACATGGACATGAACCCATGGGCATAGACATGGAGACATGGACATGTGGACATGGACATTTGGAAGAGGTATCAGTAATGTCTTATTCATTGACATGGACATGGACCCATGGACATAGAGATGGAGACATGGACATGGGCCCTTGGACATAGGTCAATGGACATGGACATGTGCACATGGCCATGGACATTTGGAAGAGGTATCAGTAATATCTTATTCATTGACATGGACATGGGTCCATCGACATGGACACATAGACCATGGACATGGGTCAATGGACATGGACATGTGGTCATGGACATCTTACCAAACATGGAGCTGGAATGGATCTGGGTTAAGAACCGAGCTTTGGAGCGGTATCAATATAGTCTTGTGTTTATATATATATGGCGAAGGTATCTTAGCGAACGTGTAGCGGGAATGAGTTCGGAACCAGTATGGACCGCCAACCGTGGTTCTTTTGGGGTAATTAATGTTAGTACTTGGGTTTTGGAAGAAGGTTGGTGCTAGGACGGAGCACCAGAACCCCCCGAAACCCCACCAATGTAGCACTTTTTCTCTCTGCCTTTCCACTCCTCTGCGGATCTCCTTTGGAAAATGTGAAGCCGGTTCGGGACTTTCTCTTTGGGACTCGAAAGGTGCCGCGTCTCTCCTGGCAGTCACTTGCATCAAGTTTTCGGTTTCCTTTTGGGATTGGGACGGGAAACCGTTATTTTGGGGAAAGGGTTTCCCAACGCCCTCTCCTTTACTCTGTATTTATTTGGGGGAGTTTAAAGAGAGTGGAATTGGTCTCCAAAAGGCAAATCCCTGGTTCTGTCCATTCGTTTTGCCCTCTTGAGAGACTGGTCATTGTCCCCTGTTTCCCTTCCAAACCAGTCCCACTCAAACAATGGGCTTCTCTTCGCATTTCCTCCCCAAAAGCATGCATTTCCCATAAAAAGGATGCATTTCCCTCATGAAATGACCTATTTCCACCATAAAATGACCCATTTCCACCCAAAAAGAATGCATTTCCCCATACAATGATGCGTTTCCGCCCTAAAAGGTTGCATTTCCTGCATAAAATGACCAATTTTCACCCAAAAAGCATGCATTTCCCAATACAGTGATGCATTTCCACCCTAAAAGATTGCATTTCCTGCATAGAATGACCCACTTCCACCCAGAAACCATGCATTTCCCCATACAGTGATCCATTTCCACCCTAAAAAGTTGCATTTCCTCCATAAAATGACCAATTTTCACCCCAAAAGCATGCATTTCCCCATACAATGGCGCATTTCCATCCTAAAAGGATGCATTCCCCCATAAAATGACCTGTTTCCACCAAGAATGGCCCATTTCCACCCAAAAAGAATGCATTTCCCCATACAATGATGCATTTCCACCCTAAAAGGATGCATTTCCTGCATAAAATGACCCACTTCTCCCAAAAAGCATGCATTTCCCCATACAATGACACATTTCCAACCTAAAAGGATCAATTTCCCCCATAAAATGTCCTATTTCCACCATAAATTGACCCATTTCCACCCAAAAAGAATGCATTTCCCCATACAGTGATGCATTTCCACTCTAAAAGGATGCATTTCCCTCATGAAATGACCTATTTCCACCATAAATTGATCCATTTCCACCCAAAAAGCATGCATTTCCCAATACAGTGATGCATTTCCACCCAAAAAGGTTGCATTTCCTGCATAAAATTACCAACTTCCACCCAGAAAGGATGCATTTCCCCATACGATGACCCATTTCCACCATAAAATAACCCATTTCCACCCAAAAGGTTGCATTTCCTGCATAAAATTACCAACTTCCACCCAAAAACATGCATTTCCCCTATGCAATGACCCATTCCACCATAAAATAACCCATTTCCACCCAAAAGGTTGCATTTCCTGCATAAAATGACCCACTTCCACCATAAAATGACCCATTTCCACCAAGAATGACCCATTTCCATCCAAAAAGCATAAATTTCCTGCATAAAATGACCCACTTCCCTCATAAAATGACCCATTTCCACCTAAAAAGGGATGCATTTCCCCATAAAATGACCTTTCCTCTATACAGTTCTCAATTTCCACCTTACCAGGGTGCATTTCCCCCATAATAGGACCCATTTCCCCCTTAAAACAATGCTTCCTGTATAAGATTATCCACTTCCCCTATGAAATAATTTAGTGGCACCCAAAAAACGACCCATTTCCCCCAAACGAAGGGTCTAGGAAAGGGCCCACTTCCCCTCTAGAGAATCCTCCATCAGGAAAAGGATCGATTTCCCCCTCGAGAGGAGAGAGCCATTTCCACCGCCAAGGGATCCCTTTGCAGAGACACTTGCGAAGGGGGCAAACCAAGGAGATGCCAAGGAGATGCTGGCGCTTCCGGACGGGCACCGTCTCCAAATTCTTCCTTTTTTAAAAATATAATAGTGTACATAATGTCTAAACCTATATTGTGTATATTTCCTTGTATAATGTCCTATATCAGAGGGAGGTTCGAGATCCTACTGTGTAGGATCCACACCACTATTTGGACCTCTGGCCTGTCTCGAACTCGGCGCTTGAAATATACCGATCGCCTCTTTGTGTCTCCGAGAAAAAAAGGGTCTCTTTATTTGCCGGTTTCGTGTCCTTCGTTGCCACATTTCTATGGGATTTGGAGACCATTTCCTTACACTTATGGGGTCATCTTTTGGAAGTGGGGGGCAATCGTTAGGTTGGGTCTACATGGAGGAATGAATGCGGTTTGACACCACTTTCACTGCCATGGCTCAAAATTATGGATGATTACTATTAATTATTATTATACACCATTATATAATTAATATTAGTAATAATAATTATATAATAATTTTAATTATGGTTATATAATAATTATATTATTATTTATATATCATTATATAATTAATATTAGTAATAATTATATAATAATTATATATTAGTAATATTATATAATAATTATTAAATACGTTATATAATAATTATATTATTATTATATTAATCATTATATAATATTAGTAATAATAATTATATAATAATTTTAATTATGGTTATATAATAATTATATTATTATTTATATATCATTATATAATTAATATTAGTAATAATTATATTATATAATAATTATTTAATATTATACTAATATTATATAATATTATTTATATTATATTACATTATATATTAATATTATAATATATTGATTACTATTAATTATTATTATACACCATTATATAA